GTCGCCGTCGGCGTAACCGGGCGTCGCATTAAGGGGCGTTTTCCTAAATGACGTCACGTGCGACGTCAAGAGGGTCACGACTGACGTCACTCGTGACGTCACCGCGGGTTATATTATGGGTAAATTTTCCCTCTAAACTTGGCAAAAAAATTTTCTCGCTAAATTACGTGGACAATTTTCACCCGCTAAATTTAGCGAAAAAAATGTCCCCGCTAAATTAAGCGAAAACATTTTCTCGCACAATTTTGCGGAAACAATTCCCCACTAAATTTAGCCAAAAAATACCCTGCTAAATTTAGTGTAATAATTCCCTGCTAAACTTAGCGGAAAAAATTCCCCCTAAATTTGGCGGAAAAATTTCCTCGCTCGGAAGAATTTCCCGCTAAATGGGAGGGGAGCAGGAGAGGAGGGTGCGGATGAAGAAGAGGGGCATACCTACCCTCTCCGTACCGTCCCCTCCTCCTTCTTAAGAGCTGCGCTCTGATTCAACGTTACAGGGCATTGTAAATGTCTTTGATTTTTTCTACATTTGTCTGTAATTTTTCTTAAATTTATAAAAGAATTCAGGTTTTTTTAATATCAGTCAACTTTCGACTTCAAGGGATGGAATTCTAGTTCTTTGTTTGCGACTATAGTCGGGAACAGAACTTTAACAAAGGCCATCTTGGCGGCCCGACAGGTAGTTTAATGCGAATTTTTTTCACTTGCTTGCTTTAATTTATCTGCAGATTATTCCAGGGTTAGAGAGAAATAACCTGAAAATCTTGTGAAATATAAATTGTGGCAAACATGACAAAAACAGTGAAAATACTGACACCGAAAGACACACATCAAAATAAATCTCGATAGGTATCAAAAACTCGTTTGAAAAACAGAAAAAGTACTTTGAAGTACAAACAGAATAGCCCATTTTTGCGGGGCAGGAACACATACGCTGCAATTCAGTGTTACGTATCAAAAGCACATTGTTGTGCATGTTTGGCTGCATTGTATAAAACAAAATATAATCTAGAATGCAAAATTTTGTTTTTAGGACAGCAACGAGCTCTCACTGCAAGACGTAGCCTAAATTTTGAGGTTGATGTTTTTTGTCATGGATGAAATAAATGGCAGAATTGACATTTTGTATATTGCGAAGTAAGGAAGCATGGCTCGAGCCTTTCAATTTGACATATCTTAATCTTCGGTAACACGATCTTAGGGACCTCTATATCAGTTTTGTACCTTCCCCAATAACCTCGAGAGGTCACAGTGATTATGTCCAAACCGGGAGCATCCTTAAGCTTACAATGTAACCGTAGGATGGGCGCGCCCACAAGGCCTTCAACTTTTGAAATATACAAGAATAATAGACCACCTGAACTTCCGAAAAAAAAAAAAAAACTTTTGTTAAGGTCTGCAGTACAAAGAGGGGGTCATGTAGGTACAGTGTCCTGTGCCTTGCCAACCCCAGCGCGTCGCTATGATAAACATTGGCGGCATATAATTGTCTCCATATCACGTGGTCACTTGCTCTGGCTGCGAGTTGAGGGGGTGAACGCGGCTCGTTTTTCTTTACTTTTCTTTCTACGACTTCGGTTGAGTGTGGTGAAAAACGAACCGGCGTTTCACAGGTCATTAACGTCAGGGATCAGTTCTAAGCGGTATTCAACAATGCTCTTCGCTGCACACCTTTTTCTCTATTTGTTTCAATTTTGAATGGTGTGAAGAAACTACCACTCTCCTTAAGCAACACCACTTAGAATAATGAAAGCCTCCCCATTGCCTCGCCTCCCTTCGTAAAACGTCATCACAGTCGAATCGCGCTAAGTCGGATATTGGGCCCTAGTCGGATCTTCGACACGCTGATTGAACACGAGCCCCGGTCGAACACTGACGCAGCACTCGTGCCCAATCTCAAGCCTCGATTGATCTGACTACGATGCGGAGGCCTTCTGCTTATCTAGGTGGTGTTGCTTCGAGGCGCTTTGTTGAGTAAAACTCTCGATAGAATTCTTTACATTTGATTGTTATCAGCCGCCTGGGGCGTGCAAAAGCTGAGAACTCCGAGGAATTTTATGACACCCTCAGAAGCATAGCGCTAGGAGCTTATAAGACTTATAAGACGAACAACAATAAATTGAGCTAACGTCTGGATTGCTCAGGCGCCCGTTCTCAAATGCTTGCTTCTAAGCCATCAAAGGCCACCATTAGCATGTACAAACAAGATGAGACTAGCTGCCGAAGTGGCCTGGCTGAATTTCGTAAAGGGTATATAAGGTGTGTTCACTGGCGGCCATAGCTGTGTGCGCGAATACTGAGCGCGAGCTGATAAGGAGCATGCACGGTTCATTTGCATTCGACACTGTCAAGATTGTCGGTCTTAGCAGGCTGTTGATGTGAGCTCGTTCTGAGCATGCGCTCTAAACATCGCCCTCAAATATGGCGCCCAGTGGATTTGTTGCGTACATGATTTTATTGCTCACCGGTTTTCCGTGTGTTTTACGTCTTACAGTATTCAGAGTCAAGAAAATTTCCTTTGTCACACCCTGTAGCACCCAAGAATGAGTGCTCGACTGTCAATTCTGGGCTCAAGTTTCAACTTCTCCGCGAAATTAGTCTACACATTATTGTCACAAGTTATTCATTTCTCTTCTAAATCTCAACAATTTGCGAATGTACGTACTTTTGCCCGATTTAGAGAATCCAATCATCGTGATTGACGTCGGCGTTTGGAAACGAAATTTGTCCAGGCTCGAAGACGTGTACGATAAATGCTCACACGCGTCGCAACAGTGCGGTTTATAGCCATGCGGCGAACGTATACCCAAATCACAGTGTTCACTCAACGAAGGATAACCGATAAAAAGAAAAAGCGGATGCTCCCCAAGCTCGGAGCTGACCGCGCGATACAACCTAACAGGAACTAGTCTAGACATGTTTGCACGTGACTCGAGAGCTCGGAATGTGATTTTTTTTTATATACAAATTAAATACGCTGTGTTGACGCGTCGCTCGTTCGCTTTTGGGTTTCAGTCTCGTGTTTTTTTCTTTTCTTTTCATATATAATGACGAACGTGTTGATTCACGGCGAGTCGTCATTTCGCAATCCGCTTAATATAAATGTCGAGGGTTCATCCGCGCTTGTCTCTGCTTCACTGCTGTCTCTCCGCGGAAGACTGAGGTAATGTGAGAAAAAGGCTTCGCAGGTCCGCCTGTGTACTAACGTGATTATTCTGCAGACCTGTCATCTCACCTCGAGCCGTCGGCGCCGCCCTCTCCGCGGTCAATCCAAAATGGACGGGATCCTGTCGTGTGCGCTGAAACAGTCGAAAGTAAGACTGCAGCTAATTGACGATTCTGACACCTATCTCATGATAGAACAGGGTATTCGAGGAAGGATTACCCAATGCACGACCCGCCATGCTGTCGCAAATGTTCCGGGAACGGATACGTTTAACCCGCTGCACGAACCGTCTCAGATTTTGGACTTGGACGTCAACGGTCTGTATGCGGCGACAATGAGAGAAGCCCTGCCAGTGTCGGACTTTGAGTGGATGACGAAAGACGAGATTGCCTGCCTGAAAATTGATGACGTTCCAGATGACGCTCCGACGGGTTACATTCTGGAGGTAGACCTCAGGTATCCTCCTGACTTGCATGATACTCATTCTGGCTTTCCCTTGGCCCCGGTGAAGCAAAGCGTTCCCTACGATTGGTTATCCGACTATCAAAAAAGTCTGATTGACAAGTTTGAAATGCCCAAAGAGGAATCCACTACGAAGCTGTTGCTCACACTTCACGACAAAACAAAATATGTTTTGCACTACCGGATTTTGAAACTTACATCCAGTTAGAACTAGAAGTCACCGAAATTCACCGAGTCCTAAAATTCTCACAGCGAGCGTTCTTGAAGGAGTTTATCGATTTTAACCACCAGCTGAGACAGCAAGCAACCAACTCCTTCCAGAAGAATCTTTCCACACTGTTCATGAACAGCATATATGGCAAGACGATCGAGAATGCACGTAAACATGGACACATTAAACTATGTGTTAAAGAGGACGACATACTGAAAAATGCTTCAGAAACCGAACCTGACACAGTTTCGAGCACTTAGCTCGCAGGTCATAATTTTCCAGTTTGCTCCGAAAGTGATCAAACTCAAGCAACCACTCTACGCAGGGTTCTCGATTCTTGAGATATCAAAAATAGTAATGTACGACTTTTTTTGTAATCAACTTTGTCGTGCGATCCCCTCAGCGAGGGCTCTTTACTGCGACATGGATTCCTTCTTCCTACACCTTCAGGGATCAGACGTAGACGACAAACTCCTGCAACTCCGAGACGCATGCTTGGATACATCTGGATATCCAGAGAGTCACAAACTCTTTTAAACCGAAAACAAAATGAAGCTCGGCGTGTTAAGAAACGAATATCCGACCACTCACTTGGTGGCTTTTTGTTGCTTGAAACCAAAGCTATACAGCTTCAAAACAAGCAGCAACACGTGTTGCGTAAGAGCCAAGGGAGTAAAGAAATCCGAGTCTCGCAAGTTGACGTACGAACTGTACAAGCACGCTCTAGAGACGGAAACTTTGCACAGAGTGACGCAGCATTTGATTGCTCGAAAACTTAACGAGAACAAAAGCATCGCGGTCGAAAAGATTGCTCTGAACCCGTTCGACAACAAGCGATACATTTGCAGCGATGGGATTACGACGCTTCCTTTTGGCCATAAGAGCGTTTTAGGAAGCGAGCGATCAGCCTCCTCATCCACGTCCTGACCTTGTAAATATTTTTTGCATTGCTATTCGACAACTTTTTTTTTTTCGCGTTATTGCTTGTGTTGCATATTTTTGTGCAAAGTGTTTCCAGTGGTTTCTTTGTCGCGTAGAGTAAATTTAAAAGCCACATTTGTATTTATATGTGTGCGTGTGTTTTTTGTTTTTCTTCTTTTTTTTAGAGCGAATGAAAATAAAAAAAAGTGAAACACCATATCTGTCTCGTCTTTGGTCCGTATGGATGCGACCATGCTCCGGTTCATATCTCACGTTGCTCGGTACAGCAGACAGCTAAAATTAGCGAGAGATGACGTGAGCGCGAGAGTTGTCGACATCTACAAAGCTGCCGGTAACATTATCGAGAGATATCGCGTGATAATGGTAAAAGTTCACGCCAGCCAAGGGATTCAGGTGCGCGCCATCTACAAACGGATTCGGCAAGTCAGACGCATTGCGCACGCGCGAAAATACGGATGAACACACCTTAGGAGCGCGCACAATTTAACTTTTTAGCAACAGATGGCGCAAGGTCAGACCCACGCTGCAAGATGTCGCTCATGCCCTAACAACAAAGACGTTTAGCAAAAAAGACGTGCGCCATCTATGAACCGAGATGTCAACTCATACGCCTAAAGCCCGGATTTAAACTGTGCACGCGCGAAATCGAGAATATGAGATGCGATCTCCACTTAGCGCGCCCTCAATCGGATGAAACACGAACCCTGTGTAACATCACGTGAGCGCCCTCTGTCGGACGCAACTCGAACCCTGTGTGAGATCACGTGGTTAGAATCACGTGATGGGATCCGTGCTGATGACATCCCACGTGACCGTCATGTGACCGCAGCGCAGTGCCCTCTGTCGGATGCAACACCAACCCTGATGACATCACGTGAGCGCCCTCTGTCGGACACAACTCGAACCCGGGGAAAATCACGTGGTTAACATCACATGATAGGAGCCGTGGTGACGAACCAAGACGATCAACGTCACACGACCATGGACACATGACCTGCGATAACGACGCATCCTGTTGTTTTAACCGCATTACAAAATTCAAGTAGCGCGCGGGGAATCACGTGATCTGAATTGCACACACGGACAACTACGAAGAGTTAAGCCCTCTACGAGGCAGTGTGCTCGTAGCTCAGGGGGTAGAGTGTTGGACCTCTGAGCTGAAGGTAGAGAGCGGTCAAGTCCCAGTCGGCCGCGGAGCCTTTCTTATCGAATGAAAGGGGCATTTACCGCGCAGCGATTCGAATAATGTCACGTGACCATCATGTGACCGCGGCGCAGCGCCCTCTATCGGATGAAACACGAACCCTGTGTGACATCACGTGAGCGCCCTCTGTCGGACGCAACTCGAACCCTGTGTGAGATCACGTGGTTAGAATCACGTGATGGGATCCGTGCTGATGACATCCCACGTTACCGTCATGTGACCGCAGCGCGGCGCCCTCTGTCGGATGCAACACCAACCCTGATGACATCACGTGAACGCCCTCTGTCGGACACAACTCAAAGCCGGGGAAAATCACGTGGTTAACATCCCGTGCACGTGCGCAATACCAGGAGGCACGTGCGTAATACCAGGTGTTGTTAACTCCTGGTATTACGTACGAGGCACGTGCCGCGTACGTCACCAGAGGGCGGGACCTCGATGAGCTCCGATTGGTCAATGGGATGGGAGAGAAAGGGCCCCGCCCCACTGCGCTGTGATTGGTTGGATTGGATTTGGCCCCGCCCTCCTGGGAGAGGGCGTGGAAACGGGGCGCTGGCATGGGAATGTGATGTCATGGTCATGTGGGAGGATGATACAGGATGAAACCAAGGCATGTGCCGAGTACGTGCGCGGAATTTGTTTACTTCCGTGTACGTGACCAGATTTTGTTTACTTCCGGCTCAATCGTGTATCGTAATACACTACTGTAGTGAGTGCCCGTGGTGAATTTCCGTGATCGGCTTTGAAAAGAATACACCCAAGATGTTGCGTGAAGAGCTGGCTCACATGTCCTGCGTCCGAAAAAAAGTGGCATTGTGCTACAGAGTTTCCGAAAGATCAACGGGATCGGGACCAATGGCTGGCTGCAATTCCTGTAGAACATTTACGGGCACCTCGGAAAGCGGACGCTACCTGATTTATATGTCACTTGCATTTTGTGGAAAGTGATTACATTGAGTTCGCAGGTGTCAAAAAGGAAATCCCCTACCATTTAATTCAGCGACGTGTCGTTCACAATATGTTTTTTTCTTCAGTGATAATTGTAAAAAAAAAGAAAAAAGTAGACATAGAAAAATGTTTGAATAAAAAAAAAGGAAGTTTCACGGGGAGTCGAACCCGGTCCTACCGCGTGTGAAGCGGACGTCTTTCCCACTGAGCTAATCGAACATCTCTTTTTTGGCGAATCTCTTTCCTTAGTAATATTTCAGCCGGTCGGTAGACTAAAAAGTTGGAAAGTTTGCTGCCGATTTTCTTCCAGCAAAAGCGCTCCCGGGCCGAAATCGGGAAGCACCACGCATTGGCGACATTCGCACCTAGTAAAGAAATCGTACGCGTGCATATTCAAGTCGAAGTAGACACGTGGTGCTTCACGTTTGCGCGAGCGATGTGTTTAGCCACGAGATGGGAGCGACGGCTCGGCGACGTCTTCATGCAAATCGGCTTGGTGGTCGGGCGTGTCGTACGGGATGAATACCAATTGTTTTAATCAGTCCCAAATTTCTCTTTAAAAGGGAGACAGAATTCGCCGGTGCCGCGAACGACTGAAATAGAAGTCCCACGCCCGTCGTCCGCTGCCATCGCCGTCCCCGCGAGTCCTACGATACGCGAAAGAACGCACTCACAGAATGCTTCCGGTTGTCTGTGGAACTTTTTTTTTCAATCATCGTATTTGCAGCTTTTTAGAAGCCACAAAAAAATGGGCTTCATATTTTTTTTCTATTTTTAATATTGAGTGTGTTCCTTCAGTGACCAACGACTTGATTAAATTTGGTGGTCGCATCGATACCTTAGAAAACGGCCCGTGACCACGGAAAAGAGAGTGAGCGAGACTCGAACCGGCCAGTTCTTGATCGGCGGTTTTCGGGCGAAAAGAAACCGAATTTCGAGTCGCAAATTGTGTTCTGGGTAGTTGGTCTCTCATATGTCATATACTACTAAAAACCTCGGCCAGCATAAACACCCTGTCAGTGTCCCTTTAAAGAGACTTCTTATCAGTTTCTTATAACTTCTTATATAATCGTATATGGTTCTTATATGGCTATTGTATGCACTTATATTTGGTCATATGCGTTTATTGAAAAAAGCAATTTCGTATACATATAAGTTTGTTTTTTTGCTAGGGTGGTGCTTTCAGGCTTGAAGTTACACGCCAGCTGCCAATGACGTCTATGTTGCCTTTCCATTGGTTTTGCCGCGCCCTTCCCTTTCCCGTTTTCGAAATCGGAAAATGCAGCGGAAGCCTTGAGCGACTGACTGATCGCCAACGGCCAACCGAGAGCGTGATATCCGTACCCACGTGATAAACATACCCTAAACCTCAGTAAAAAGAAAAAAAAGAAAAAAAAAGAATTTTAACAAGAAAACAAAAACAAAAAAAAAAACACTTTTGTTTTTGTTTTTTATTAAGAGAGAAGAAAAAAATAAAAACGGTCGGAAGCGGAGAGCCACATTTCGTATGGCGGATCAGTGTCGCTTTACCTGTTCTTGAAGAGTCCTCTTCCAACAGCCCTTGACGCGTTCGACCTGTGCAGTGGAGACAAAGGCTACCATTGTCTCCCTGCACTCGTCGAAAACGTACGAATGCAAAAGCCACACGTTAGATGCCGGCATTCCGCGTTCTAACGCGACGATCGACGAGTGCAGTGAAGACAAAGGTTGCTAGCTTTAGGTCTACCCACCAATCATTCCAACCAGAGCTCGGCTTTCTAAAGTCCCCGCGCGTTCTAGTCTCCTCATTTCCCTCAGTTTCCCGGCCCCTTGTGGAATACATGTCTATTGACGCTTGAAGTGATACCAGAAAAAATAATAGGACGACACATCTGCTAGCAAAAGTGAGTCAAACTGTACTGAGCGCGCATTCGGAAGGTCTCATTTGAAGCGCCGTTTCACCCCACACTTATGCTGGAAGAGCTAACGTCGTGTTCTCAAACTTTGGCCTTCTACTCCCAAACGCTCGCGTCCCATTCTCAGGGAGTTTGAGGTCATTGCGATGAATAATTTACGCGGGCCGAGAAACGCGGTTCTCCTTTCTCGGGAACGCCCCACAAAGAAAACGACGAGTGGATCGAGTGAGTACATTGCGAGGAATTAGTCCGTTGCAGTGAAAAGATTGGAAGCAGTTTGTTACGAAACATTTTTTGCCTTAACAAGTATGTCAGGTACTTACATTTTCTTTCTTTTTTTCCCACCGATGATGTTGCTTCCTTACATGTCCGAAGTCTGCCTCTTGATGCTCCCAAGTCGAGTGAAGCTGCGAGGAAATGGGCTATTTGTGGCGAACGTTAAAACTTTAGCGGAAAAGGCGTGATGAAAGGAGAACAAGAGGGAAAGAAAAAAAAATTAAAAATCGATGTCTCAATTAAATATAAAAAAAAAAGAAAAACCTGTTCTTCTGGGGGAAAATAGAGTGAACTGGATCGACTCTTGTTTCAAAGGAAAAGAACAAATACAACTGCGTTTTTGTTCGAGTTAGGCACGTGTACAGACCAAGGACTGGTTGGGTCGATGAAGGCTAGGAATTTTAATTTTACAGTGTGATAGCTTGATCCAACAAGCCCACGTCCCTCACAACCTGAATAATTATGGAAAGAAATTGATTGCGCAGGCGATCTGGTGATAGTTAATCATGATGGTTAAAACTTGAGTCTGTGGTGAGGGGAAAAAGTGGGAAACTTTGAAGTCGTAGAAAAAAGAACAGAAGACTTTTCAAAAGCAGCTAAATAGTCTTTCTTTGCTCATCTAGAGCTACTTTTTGATTTGATACCAACCACTTCCCTTGACTTCATTTACCGATCTTTCAGCATCTGCTATCTCGCTTGCGAGTGATTTTCAACTTTCCTTTGATTTATGTGCCAATCATTCAGCCAACGTTTTTTATTTCTTGCGTGTGACAATAACCACTTTTGTTTGGCTTTATCTAAGAATCGTCTTGCCTCTGCTTTATTCATCGCGTGTGATATTAAACACTTTCTTGGGCTTTATCTTACAATTCTTCAATTCCTGCTTTATCCCTTGCGTGTAATATTCAACAAATTCCTTGGGCTTATTCACAAAACGTTTATTATGTATGATTTCTACCCTGTGCATGACATATAACACGTTCGTTGTCTTTACCAATATTTTATACTCTATTTTGTCGCCTGCGATATTTGCGCTTTCCCTAGCTTTATCCACCAATCTTTCAACTTCACCATTTTCGCATTTTATTTAACACTTCCCATGTTTTCATCTGTCAATCTTTAAACCTGTGGTTGTCACTTGCGCATGACATCTTAGTGTTGCGATTGACAAATGTAAGTACTTCAAATCACCAACCTGTGTCCCAAGTCGTATGGATCGTTCGAGGAAGATAAAACAAAATTATGTCGAGCAGGTTGTAATAGATATTCAATTTTTACCAAAAAAATTAGTCAGTGAAACGAGTTGCCTGAGGCCGATTTTTGGCATAATGACCTGTGACCATTTTTTTTAAAAAAAAGGTCGTCTCGATTTTTTAATTATGTTTTTTACACGCACTTTTTATGCGTGTTTTTATTTAACAGCCTTGCTACATATAGCATTACTATAACATTATTTTTTTTTCTTGAGAGCTGCACCTGCTATAATTCTTTCCCCCTTAAATTTATACCTATCAGTCTTCAAACCTCTGTGGTTGTTTTTTTATTGTACATGATAATTAACATTTTCTTGGCACTATCTCTTGAATTTACCTTACTTTCAACTACTTTGAAATATTCAAATTTCGTTCGGAAATGAGTCAAGCATGGCGGACAATAACCGTAAATGATAACCGCCTGTTTGGATTTTGAACGACTGGCTATATTTTTCGTTCGAAACGGTGCACTCGAACAAGCGCTCGAAGAGAAGCGAACGGAGAGCGCGATGCGTCATGGGATACCCGGCGCAAACAAAAACAGAAAGAAAAGATTTCCCGTGTTCGTAGACCGTTTCCGCAGCCCACTAAGCACCCGGATAGCGCTCCGTAATCCGCCACAAGACCTTGAACTATGCAGAGAAAGCTGGTGGCGCGCATGCGCAGCTGCGGCGTTTTCTTCGGGGATACCGTAGCGGAGGAGAAAAACGATCTACTAAAACTCCCTAATAGCGTGAGCGCGTTATAGACCCCTTTCGGAATTTTGGCAACACTAAAAAAAGTTTAGCTGGAATAGTAAAACATCTAGCAACATTGGGTGATCGCCGCCATTACGCAGGGTTCGACTAGTTCGGCCGGTTGGCGTGCAGCGTAGCCGCCGTACCGTTTTCAGCTATGGCTTGTGCGAGTGTTTTCCCAATCACCTGTTGGTGTAATGACCTATCGACACTGCCACACATAAGTGACAGAGAGGTGGAGACCTTCTACAGGAGTCGGTCAGGCACAGACCGGTGTATGGAGCGAAGAACTTCTTCGTCGAAGCTCACGTGGTCCCCGCATCGATAAGGGCTAACCACTCAAGGAAAAGGCAAGTTCTTTCTTGTTTTGTAGTAATTTTTTTTAGTAACATTCCATAATTTTAATACAGTTAATCATAGTGATCGCGCTTTTAGCGTGGCCACTCCGAACGACCCGGTACGCTGCCCCCGTCGTGAGCTTGTCGTTCGGTGACAGCCGAGAACTCGCTCGTTTCGTTTTTCGTACCCCTCCAATAAACTTACGACCGCGTATCAGTAACTGCAAAAGGTTCCTCACGAGTCACAACCTTGAGTGTTTAAGAAATCGCAATCGCGAATCGTACAGAACAGCAGAAAAGGTTGTAGGGGTGGGTGGCAGGCAGCATTTTAAATTCCTTCCTCGGTAGCCTTTTGACGACTAAGAAGTTAAGCGGGTTGTGGCATTTCTCACAATGCTACAGAGTAGACTTTCCAGAACCACTGATGTATTGGGTTTATTTCACGGCGTTTGTAAACGTACCACGTTTGTTTGAACCCACTAGAAATGTGACATTGCAAAAAAAAAAAAAAAGAAATGTGGTGAAATTGGTTTTTATTTGCAAAGAAAATATGTACAGCTGTTTAAAGTGTAAAACCGGTGTACAATTTTTTTTTTATCCCATTCAGTGCAGGAAGTTTTTTCATTAAGGGCTCCTGCTTCCGAAGCAAGAAGAAGACCCAGGATCCGTACACTGTGATGGCGGCAGTTGGGGTGCAAGGCTAGTTGTTGGAGGGCCATTGTGAATGCCCTGCAGGAGGTGTGGCATGTAATCATCTGATGGCCCTCCTTCGGACGGTCGCACTCCTGCAGTCAAAAGGCTTCAGCGAGGCACCAGCGGAGCTGAGCTGCACCGACCTGCCACAACAGTGGAGGGTCCCCCGAGGGCCCCACATCCAGGGTACCTCGATTCAGTCGGTGAACTGGAGAAGCGTGAGGGAGGGCGGGCTGGATACCCCGCTGACATCTCGTCTGTATGAGAGCAGGATCTCACCAAGAAGCCAGTGCCAGCAAAATGCCGCCAACAGGAGCTTTGCTGAAGCGCTCGCTACCATAGGCACCTGCACCGACTTCGGCAAGGCTTTGCTACTGGTGACGGACAGCACAGTGAAAGACACGAGGTTTGGCCCTGCACTGGCCAGATCACCGCTGTCCTACCAGCAACCCATCATCCCGCATGGACTTTCAGTTGTAACAAACATAGGGCAGCACAAAAGTTTCTCGTATGCTCCCCCGAAAGACTGTACATTCTTCTCGATCAGTGGATTGTGGGAGATCCCCATTCCCTTTCTGGGCAACGAGATTTTGGAGGTAAGCAGGCATGCCATCAGGGCAGAAGGCTGTATTCACACCTTGTAGTGCAGCCCTACCATCTACCATTGCTTAGAATGCACGGGAGCTATACGGATGCACATTTCTGGCTGCCATTTGGGTTTTCCACCTATTGTTTTCTATATTTTCTCTTGGAATGCATGTTACCAATAGCCATTGGGCTTCTTTTAAAGGGTTTTAAAGGGCCACGTTGCGCAACCAAGCTTTGCATCACATTCAAGCCCTACCGGCAGATGCAAGGGGACCTACTACTGAAAGAGAGGTCCAGGACAAACCCAGTTACCACTGTTCTATTTTTTAGTTCGGGGGATCCCCAGGGTGAAAATTACTGCTAAATTTGTCCAATTTGACTGCTCCTAAAGAAAGGGCACCTTTTTTGCCCACAGTGTGCAAAAAAGTAAGACCGGTAGCCGTAGCACGGTATTGTTGAGCCGTGAAGGGAGCGGGTAATGTTAACGGTCAGCGGTGATTGGAGAGGGGGACACATGGAAAGAAATGAGGCGAAGCTCTACATGCAAGGCGGCAGCTGCAAGTCAACGAGTTCAGGCAGAACATCCTTAACGTTTTCGGTTGGGTTCGACAAGTAGAAAGAATTTATATTGAAATCAAACGGGGTGAAAGTTTCTAAAATACCCCAACATTACGCGTAGCAACTGGACGCTGCCAAAGTGGAATTCCATATACACAAATTCATCTCTGTTACGTCACGGCGCGGTGGTGGCGCGACAGTCGCACTTCCGGATGGGGCTGTGGGCAGAAGTCCCCATGCCAGACCTGTATTCCTGCGTCGTTTTAAAAGGAACCAGACAAAAACCTGCCTTCTCGTCTGGGGCCGTACCAAAAGTGTTGAGAAAAGTCTGAAGGTCAGTTTTCACGTGCTCTGTTCGTCCGAGAATCTGGATATGTGCCGTGAAAAGGGAAAAGCAGACGCCGCCGAACAACGATTGCTTGGGCGGGAGCACTTTGGCTTGAATTCACGGATACTTGTGGTCATCAGATTTATTTGTTTTGTTCCAACATGAACGCCAGAAAACCGTCAAGTTGTGCGGATCACCTGCAGACTATGTTCAGTGCGTCTTCAAGTTCAAGCGGCCGCCTGATCGTTCGAACTGTCGTCTGCTCTTTCAAACGTTTCTGCTTGTCATCTGCTCTCCTAGACGACGCCGGCCATAGACCAAATATTGGCCCGGTACTTGCGATAAGAAGTAAGTGCAGGCCTCAAAAGAGTTAAATTTGAAGGTTGGTAAGCAGGCTCGATGTAAACGGTAGATACAAGGGGATGTTGATCATAGTTACCAGTGACCATCACTGACCTGTTATGCCTACTTCACTTGGTCCGATTCTGCTCATGGTTTTCAGTATCGACGTCAACCATCTCAGGTACGGTTCACGCTTTTGCAGCCCGAGCGGCATCGCGACTGAAAATTGCGAACGAAATCTCGACATGCGAATCAGGCTTTAGCGTACATACTGCGGTGTCCACACGGAATGAATCGCCACATGTCACATCATTCACGCAAAGTTTTGCGGTGTAATGAGCCTCGGTAATTTCACTGACGCCGCTAAAGATAGTCAGACATCGCCAGGAAGACGTAGAATCAACAATTCGAACGCGAAAAAGGGCAGGGGGATTCACATCAACGCCGACAACATTGCATTTCAATGGTTTGTTTATGGGCGACGGCGAGCTTCTTGCCCACACCCCCATAGCGCATGCACGGCGCCGGTGGCGTCCGCTAGGGGCGCTCTGGTTTGTTTTTAAACATGAGTTGGTGTATAATGCGACTAAAACTTTTTTCAAGTTTTTGGTACCAGACGGCGGGGAAAACGGTCATTTCACACAAGGGCTCTCCTCTCTTTCCTCTTTATGCAATCAATGGGAACTCCCGACTTCTCGCCTCACACCATGAGGGAACACGAATGGTTTTTCTATCCCCAGTGCGATTGCAAAAAACAACAAACGCTGACACCGAAATTCCTGCTAAGTGTCACCCAAAAAGCTATCGCTTTAAAACATGGCACATAAAAGCTCTCTGGTCTTTCTCATCAGTGTTATATTTTTTTTTTCTGTATATTTTAGGGCCTATGCTTAACACCGGAGGAAGCCAGGGACCTGGAAAGGAACACGAGGCAGCAGTCGAGGAGCCCAACATGGCGCAAAGAGCGCAAACTGCGTTTGACAGCTTCACATTTTGGTGCAGCTTTTGGAAAGGTCAAGTGGACTGAGAAGGGACTAGACGCTCTCACTGTCTCAAGAGACATCTCTAAGGTCCCTGCTGTGAGGTGAGGTGTTCAAAAACTTATGGTTGAGGGGACCTAAATTTACAGAGGAGCATTGACCTAATTCTTTCTAATTTTTTACTCTATTAGTTTTCCGGGTGATGACCTTATTGGTGACATGTGTGAACTGTAGGTGGCGCTTTCTTAGCTATCGTTTGTAGCATAGTCTGTCGATTGAGCTGCGCTTCGGACGCTTTGGGTTGCTTGACACATTTTGTCGCAGCACCGGTAGTGCATCAAACCCGCAAATCCCAATGCAGTGTCAAAGTGCCGAGATAGTGGTCTACCGTAAGCATTGTAGAGGTGACGCATAGGCCTTCAAAACAGCGGCAAGCGAGCCGTCAAAGTGGCGGAAGGCGAGGCTCTGGCGCATTAAAATCAGCTCAACAATCACTTAGTTGACCAGCGTGAATCCCATTCCCGAGTTGTTTATTTATCGAAGTGTTACTATTTCGGTTCGAAAATGTGACCTAGAATAGCTCGTTAATAAATGCTCCCTGTGATTGGGAAAGCGAAAAAAAATAACGAGTGCAAACAAAGGGCTTCACGTTCCGTCTCTAAGTCAATTTTCACTATTTTTGCGCTTTTCCGTTTGTACTATGATACCAATTAGCCCAATTATTCGTTGTGATGCCAAGCCGCATCTACCATCAGCCACAAGCCAAGCATTACCTTTTCTTTCCTATAAGTACACAGTCACAGTATTCCCCAGCACACAAGATGCTGTGTTAAAGGGGAATCGTAGTGAGGAAAATCTTTCTGTTTTGTGATATCTAGGCACAGACATGTAAGTGGGGTAACCTCTTTAGTTCGTCCCCTTAAAATGTTTTCAAAGGTTTTATTTGAACACGGTAAATTGAAGAATCATCCCCAGCGAGCATTATTTCGAAAATGATTTTCATTACCTTTCCTAATAAAATGTTTGTGCACTCCACGTGCTTGAGATCAGCTACATCTCGAAATAAAACAAATACTGAACTGGTGTTCGCAATGTCCTAGCGTGGTTTTTAATGCAGGGTATGCTTAATTCAGGAAATTGTCCAAACGGTAGAAGCAAAGGCAGGTCACTTCTCTGAATGCATGCCCTGCATAGTACAAACATGATGCGACTGATACCGTCCTTCCTTTTAGCACGATCCAGAGTTTGTGGTGGGTTGGTGTTTCACGCTAACGAGAGCAGCGCAAAACCGACAAAAGTGCAGGCGCTGTAAGCGTTACTTATGGCACTGCATGGCACAGCATGCCCATCCTCTAATACATGTCTTCTCCTTCAAGGAGAAGTCGTGATGTGGCAAATTCCTTTGGCGAGGTACTCGTTAGGGCTTGATTATTTGGGGAGGGGGGGGGGGGGGGGAAGGTGATGAAAGCTGTGCGGATATCCGCCAGCAACTGCCGAACCACACTTGCAGCTTCTTACATTAGACAGAAGCGTCAGTATCGGCAAGCTCTATGTATCCGAAACCGAGTGTGTGGCGCAACGTAACAGTGCTCGCACAAACAAGACAGAATGTCCTTATACATACAGGTGACAGCAAAATTTCTATCAACAGCAACGAAAAAACAAACTGAAGGAGACCAGGTGGCACAGAGCCGCCAAAAAAATAGCATTCAGAAAACGTCGACGCCGTCGCTTCCGCCGGAACGAACGCATTCCTCAAGCTTCAAGTGTGCTTTCAAGCTTTTTAAAAATGAAAATCAGCTAAGAACTGTTGTAATTCAGCGCCCACAGATGTCACGAAAATGGCAAGCTTTTATTTAAAAATTTAAGGCTCGTCAATCGTTACAGATACAAACTAGCATAGAGCCTTTCCGTACGATTGCTTCACTTGTCATGTGCTCTAATCCTTCCAACTATGCTACTGGAGCGTCCGCAGTCTGCACTATGCTGAAACCGTTATGTTTTGCGGACACTGTATCACCGTGTAAACCTCGGTGCCAATGTAACTTTCTACTTTGCAGACATGGCATTGTCAACGAGCCACTCGCCGCAAGGTGTTACGAGGATGTGCTCCGAGGGCTAGGCCACCAGGTCACAGTCAAGTCATGCGGGCTGTTCGTCGACCCTGAAACCCCATGGCTTGGGGCATCACCAGACAGAGTTGTGCACGACCCCGCGGAGGACCCCCCTCATGGGATTGTGGAAATTAAGTGCTCCCATTCCCTTTACAACAAAACTGTTGAAGAGCTTACCCATGCGGACTTCTGCTCCAAAGTAAGTGGAGATTGCACAAGGCTGAAGGACGATCATCCTTTTTATTATCAAGTCCTCGGACAAATGGCGCTGTCTGGGCTGCAGTGGGCAGACTTTGTTGTATATGGAAAAAGTTTCATCCTAATTGAAAGGATGGGGTTCAATGCAAAAGTATGGCAGAGTGTGAGTGAAAAGTTAGAAGATTTCTACTTTAATGAACTGCTGCCACACTTGGAGTGCAGACGATAGTTGCTGCGCTTTGAATTGCAGAGTAGAGTAAGCTGAACCATTTATTGCACTCACTTTTTTCTGAATTTTTTCTGGTTTGGAGTGAGGTCAATGTTACCCATATAAGTGGTTTGAAAAATCTTAAAACGATAAATAATCCCTCGAGAAGGGGACAGACGACAAACACAAAATCTTCAACAATAGTTAGGTGACTGGTGCGTGGATGAAAAAATCTGCCTGATCCTGGTTTCCAACCAGGGACCTCTCCATTTCCAGTGGAGCGCTCTACCAAATGAGCCAACCAGGAGTTAGACATCAGTAGAGCAAACGGGTTTTAACAGCCGCCACCAGTCTCGTCACCAACAAGGGCGAGTCCTGCATTAACACCCCTGCATTAATTGCATTACTTCATAACCTTAATGTAGGACCCCCCTTGTTGGTGGCAAGACTGGTGGCGGCTGTTAAAACCCGTTTGCTCTACTGACGTCTAACTCCTGGCTGGCTCAGTGGGTAGAGCGCTCCACTGGAAATGGAGAGGTCCCGGGTTCGATACCAGGACCAGGCGGATTTTTTCATCTGCGCACCAGTCACCTAGCTAAAGTTGGAGATTTTGTGTTTGTTGTTTGTCCCCTTGTTCCCCTTCTCCAGGGATTATCCAGCTCGCCTACACTCCTGCATTAATTGCATTAACTTAAAAAATCTCTTCGACACTGGGAATTTGTTTCTTTTTAGGGGGTGTGTGATTTCTTCTGTTGTCCTTGTGTTGTATATTTCATTTATGTTGAATACATTTTCGATGTAAAAGATTTTTTAAACATACGAAGCAAATTTCAGCTAATTGTAAGTCACCTTGTACCATGATGTTTTGTTTTTTTTCTGGGGGAGGGGGGGGGGGGCGAAGAGAAGGAAGGGGGGAGGAGGAGTGTGATCTCTTCTATGTTGTCTTTGTATCAGTTCTTTGTGTTGAATGCAGTTTTCATATAAAATTTTTTTTAAACATACAAGTGTCCCTGATCTCCTGTCAATGCTCACTCCTCCTTGGATGAACCTCACTCCGACGAAAACAGTTCCGAAGTCGTGCAAACCGGTGCTACAGGAGCCAAACCCCACTCTATTACTTTTAGGCACCAACCTGTTGCTTACAAAGCATCAGCAGCACTACCCATGCTTGTAATTTGTTTAGTATTGCATGCTGTAACTGGATTACTTTTGTGATTTTAACAAAAGTCTGAAACCAGTGTTTGATCTTGGTTGAAAGACTGTGCAAGGGGGGCTTCAGGTCACACATACATGGTGTAATCGATTTATGAATGTGACTTTCCATGCCTTTTTTTCTACACAATTTACTGTTAGCCCAGACTTCGGACCTGAACTCTACAATTGCGTCTGCAGAAAGGTCTCGGACATGTTTCCTTTCAATACAAATAAATTAATCTGATCAACCGCTTGCTGCATGCACGACACCACCCAATTTAGTTCACAGGAGGAAGGCGGCAGAACATGACGGCTCTACCCTCTCTTGCTCTGTACGAAGAGCCAACAAGGTTGTTGCATGGGCAGAAAGACTGCTGATCCCACAATGCATTGCAGGAATAGCGGTGTAGTCGAACTGGTTGATGACATTGGTTTATTCAATTGAACTCTCTTATACGAGAAAAGCCGATCTTGAACAATTGGAACGGTACAATTGGGCGCTAGAACTCGAAACAGCATTCTGAAATGAGTATCTGACGCAGAATCACGGTAAATCAGCTTTACCATAGGCACATAAATGACACCTGTAAGATGCGAGCATATGAACGCTTCCCGAAGTACAAAATCATGTGTTAGCGGGGTAAGTTGCCCCGTGCAGTGGCTCTGAGAATTGTTGGTGTGTTGGATAGAAAAACATTATGCAAAACACAGCTGAAAGGATCAAAGGTTCATTCACTTATATGCAAGCATTGTGAATTCTGTCCAAGCCAGTGGTCATCGTTTACACAGTACTGGAGGCTAGCAGTTGTACAGTCTACTAAAACTTCCCATTTTCACTCGTCAGTAGTTGGGTCAACCTGCGGGAACATTTCCAAGTACAATTTACTCGTTATCCTTAATCAATGGTGATTGCATGTTCGTGAGTATGGTACAAACAGTCCAGATTTGGTTAGCAAGGGGTGCCAGCGAGATGGGGATGGGTCGATCAAAGATGTGGAACGACTTAATTCTTTGAATGCGTCGCTCAACATGGATCCTCAAAGCTGCGATGTCCTGGGTTTCCTCCACTTCCTCAACTGAAAATTTGCCCCGATTTAGAAAAGAAGGGATATTAAGCATGACACCAAGATCTTTTAGAAGGTCGGCAATCTTGAATCCTTTGTCAGCCATGACAGAGTCCCCTTGATCAAAAGGCATCGTGAGCAGTCCACTCTTTATCACAATTTCTTTGTCAGAGACAGATCCCATATACAACTCTGACACAAATGTCACAAGGCCATTAGGCGAAATGCCGACGAGACCTTTGAATGTGTTCGTTGACTTATAGTAAGAGTAAGTTCCCGACTGTGTGACAAAGGAACTTGCTACTTCGCATCTGACTTCCGTAGCATCTATGATGACTCGCGTCGTCGGATACTTGTCCAAGAACGCAACTGGCATGGTGGTGTCGATGGCCTGCCGTGGCAGCCAAAGACCCAGCTGGGTAAGGTTCAGGTAGAGGAAGCTCATCCATGCACTGAACAATTTTGACACGGTGCTCATTGAAATGTCAAACAGATGGCCTAGGTGTTTGTGGAAGATTCCGCCCTTCAACTTCATGAGGACCAGAAACAGCTGGTTTTCTGCCGACAGCTTTCGTCGCCGTCCGGCCTTCTGCGAGACAGAGGAGTGCCACCCATGTTGCATGAGAATATTTTTCCCATTTTCGCCAGCGTCGACAAAATTTAGAAGAATAAGGAAACTCCGGTAATTGGGCAACCCAGTATAAAACTGAATGTCCTCATCATTGGCTCGGAATTTCTCTACGCCGAAGGGCACACTTCTTGCTTCTAGCACTTCACATTTTGCAAGTGCGGCCTCCAGCTGAGCTTTTAATCTGTACACCTGCGCTTTGCTCCGTTTCAGTTTGGCACGCAGTGAATCAATGTCTTTTTGTTGCCTTCTCTCCACAGCCTTCTTCATGTCAAGCTCTGGCCCCAGGTTGCACGTGCAAGGTGGCGCTCCCATGAACTCTGCGGTGACTTGTGGACATACTTCTTGCAGCTCGGGGATAGGGAACGGGTCTTCGTGATTTTGCGATTCTTGTTCCAAGTTTCGGTTTGGGTCTTCAAGGTCTTGCAAAGCCTGGTGTATGACTGGTGGAAGTCTCTCCTTCGGTGGCTTCCTAGTGACTCTAGGCTTGGTGAAACTGAACACTGATGGAACTGCGTGTTCGTAGAGCAGCCTGCGGCCACTGGCCACATTACGCACAAAGTCTGTTTCCACAAAGTGCTTCGAGCAGACTTTTGTTGCCTTCGACACTTTAAATAGTCTACTTTCATCACGCCTGATTGCTGTGATCCACTTCCGATAGACGTTGTCTGTTTTGGGGAACATATGAAAGGACACCTGCAAAATAACATACATTCATCAAAAACAGTTTTCTTAAAAATTATAATTGAAAAACATACAATGTGTTCAGGAATAACGACCGTTGAACAAAATAATAATTGTTGAACATGCTCTAAACACCAACTCTTTGGCTGCATTCTCACAAATTTCCAAACTGATTAGTAGCGTAACGTCCCTAAACGTCTAGTTGTACGGCCTTGGCACCCTGTTCAGGCCACCACTCCAACAGTTCCCACGATCGCAAGGCGGGTTCGAGTGATCTTCATATTCGGTGTACACTGCATTTAGTCTGTGCACTCCCTCCACCCGACGTCTGTTTTCTGGAAAACTCTTTACCGGCGTGAGTAAAGGAAACGAACTTGAGGAAGAAGTAATCATGCATCTACACGCCGAACAAGTACCTAAAATGGCCTCGGTTGCAGTGAAGCAGCACTGAAGGAGGGACCCGCTCGCGCATGCGAGCCGCGCACTGAACCGCGGCCGTACTTCTCTAGTTAAAGACGGGGCGCGACACACGGGCACACTACTACAAGATATAATCGTTTGCGATGCTTCCGCTTACGGAAGATAAGAGCGTTTTCTTGTCTAACCCGCGAAAGTTTTGTAAACAACACGAGGACTCGGTTTTTCTTTTTGAACACTTTAGAACTTGTCTGACACGTACCTTTTTTCCGTCTCCGTCAATGTATCCATACTGCGTACACAAAGGTACGCAGCAATGCGATGGCATATTGATGCGGCGCGCGCAGACTGGGACTCAAAGTGCACCGTTGTAGGCGGTAAGATGCAGGCGGTTCTGGCGGGACCCCTGCGTGACGGCGGCGGACCTAGTCGCAGTTGCGTGCAACAGGTGGCGCTCCATTCCGAAAGGGGTCTATAACCGAGCCGTTCAAAGTACCCGTGGGGTGACGAGCGTGTGGCTGGCCCAAGGAGCACGTAGCTTCCTCAACACTGTCAGCTTACGACGGAACGGGAGCAACTTTTGTTCTGAGCGACGGGCTAATCTTCTAGGGGGAGAATGGCTGTTTCCAGTTGCACAAACGAGGGTCCGAGAAAGAGGGGAGTCCTTCCTTTCCGTCTTCTTGGACCGTTTGGTACAATGCCCGATTTGGGATATAGACCTTTTCTGTGTACTCTCGTCTCCAGCCACATAATAGGCGTATCGGGTATGGGCGACGAAAAAATAATCCAACGTTTCAACCTGCAAATTGTAAAAAACTAAAGGGGAGGCAAAACGACAAAGTGTGACGTTTAGGCTTATATCCTAAATGCCTTCTATTGGCGTGGCAAAGGCAAAACAATGTTCTCGCCCATACTGGAAGTGACGTCAATTCAAGATGGCGGCACACTTGCAGAAAAAGTCTAAAGAAAGAAAGCTAAGAGGAAAATGTTGAAATTCCAAAGGACGGCGCTGCTCATAAGGATTAGTAAGGAATCTGCTGCGTTACGACTGCGTCTCAAGTTCCCCAACGTTGCTAGATTGCCTCCCAAATAGGCTCCGCATGCATCCACCAGGTGCACATTGAAAGATAGTTTATTCAGCTTTAAAATTAGTTTTCTTGTGCCTTTCAACGAAAAACTGGTGTTTTTGAGGTTAGGGTGCAACATATAACACGTTCAAGCTAGAAAATGAGCGCTGGAATTTCGTTTCTCTACTTCTTTGACACTTCCATTGCCTTCATTCAGGAATTTTTCAACATTTGCTTTGTCGATATGCCCGTTTTTTTATCCGTTTTTTTTTTTTGTCGTTCACCGTAAATTCATACGGGCTTGAAGAACTCCTGTTACTCTCCGGAACGTTTCCGCCTACCCAATTGATGTCGACGGGTATATTCTTACATATCAAGTATAGCGCGCGCTTTATACAATTTGTTGTGGCGACACAACTAGTGTGCGCGATTCTTAAAGTTTCATATCGCATTTTCGGACGCCTTAAAATGTTCCATTTGTCACTCTGATACACTACGGCCAGTGCGGCTCAGGAAACCAAAACAATATTTCGTTGGTATCGGGTCAATGCTTTTCTTTAAATTAGACATAAAAAAAAAAAAAAAACTGAAAGCATGAAGTGAGCGCCCTGAGAGCACAACTTCAAGCGATAAATGTTACGCGAGAATGCCCGTATCGATCTGCATAGGCGTCGTACCGGCGTGTGGTCTTAAAGACATTGAAAACCTCAAACTAGTAGTCGTACTACTGGCGTAAATTTCTAATTTACAGCGGAGACATGAGACGCCCATTGCAGGGCCGACTTACTTTACTTTTGAGCAGTAAACGGGCACTGATCATATTGCCTTTTCTATTAAACGGTCGCTTGCGACACCTTGTAGCTGGCACGCGCAATTTTTTTGTACTTTGTGCTGTTAGCATTAATTAACCTACAAAGCAGATATGCACTGTACATTTTTAACGCGTGTTTTTTTTCGGGTGGAACCAGCCGAACATTGAAAGGATGGAAGGATATAAGAAAAATACAACCGACCGCTCAATTACCAGCTATTTATTTAATCCTCATTCTCTGCTACTAATTTTGTTAGTTTCGTTTTGCTTTTTTCTTCACTAATAATTTTGCTAACCCCTTTCTCTTATATATACTGAGCAAAAGAATTGGTGTCCTACAGAAACAGTTTTATTTTCTTTATGGTGCAGTGTGTTTGAAGAGGAACTCCATGCAGTTATCTTCCTTTCCCTAAATAAATTAAGTAGTCGTTAGTTGTTTCTACAGCGGGAGGTTAGTCTTCCGGAAGCATGAAGACATTGTTGCCCACTTTAGATGATAAATTTAGCTAGTGGAATGAAACCGCTAGCCTGGGGTCTTTAACTTGCATGACGCAGTAGTGATACACGACCGCAAGAGGTACGATGCTCATCCAGATAGAAGCAGGGCGGGTTGGAGATCAGACCCAGGATCCCTGGGCTCTACAGCCCGAGTCTTGGTTATAGGTGCTCCTAGATCCACTAAATGAGCTACGCTTAGAGTGTTGGCACTCCGTTCCCCGACATTATTGCGGGTGCCGCCATTTTGGTGCTTGTCCAGAGCAGACGCAACTGCCGGTCGTCATGATTCAAAAGAGCGACTTTCTAAGCATTAGATTCGGTGTTAGGAAGCTCATGATATATTGCTTTGCTTTGTCATAAGCTTTTTAAATATTTGTGGAGGACGGAAAAGCGTTTCTAGTGGCTTCAGGCAGCTGGCAACCATGATCTTAAGCCACAATAGGGCCAAGTGTTGTTAGCCTGAAGCGTAGCTTATTTAATATCACTGGGTGGTCCAAGATGGCATCCCGAACGGTGCCCCATACGTGCAAGCCCGCGAAGCGTGCGCATGAACGTAACTTTGGCAGGTTTGAGACTGCACGTGCTTGCTCCCATGAGCGGGAACATGGCGGCGGCCAATTGCGCTCTCAAGCCAACACTGCAATCACCGTCAAAATTTAAGTTTTACATTACTCTTATTTTTGTCGATGAGAAATATTTTGACTACGTCATAGTCAGCATTCGGCCAATCGCGGAAGGCCGCTCCCTAGCTTCTGAATGATGAGCTTCACAATAAAGTTGAATGCCTACACCTTCCTAACGCCAAACAAAGAAAGTACGGCTCTACAATACAGCTCCTGTAGAGTAAAACTAGAATTACTCGTCGCAGACCCAGTCTCGTACTGCTTAGAGTAACTAAATGAGCTACGCTAAAGCCACTAGCCACTAGCCATTAGCCACTAGACGCTGGCAGCTAGCCACTAAATGAACTTTTTCAGTCGCTCTAGTACTGCTCTTCTACACCGATCATCCAGGGTCCCTATGTAACGCTTTTTGGACTCCCGAGGTGACTGGGGAGGAGGAAGTGACCTAGGTCTGAATGAACGTATCTTAGCAACACCACACATCGCGGAAACTCACTTTCTGACGCCGTGACGACATCGCAGAAATTCTTCATCAGCGACTCCACCAATCAACATCCAAAGAGCGCTGTTGACGTCACTTCCCTCTCTCTGGTCGCCCTGGGAGTCCAAAAAGCGCAACATAAGGCCCCAGATGACACCCATTTGGATAAGCACCAGTGCACCATTATACACCTTTCAAAGGAACAATCAACCCCAGGAGCAACAAACCGTTTTCGAGCCAGTGGCTGGGTTTGAAACTAGGCTCTTACCGGCGTTTCTGCTAACCCTAACCGAGTGGACTGTGATTTCGATAGGCGAAGCCTGGATAGGCGCTGTCTAAACACTGCTGGCGGCTAAATTCTCGTATTTTATCACTGTATTTTGTGTTTCCTGGTGTATGTATTTTCCCGAGGACATTGAGAAAGCATTGTAACATATTAAAAAAAAACAAAAAAACTGTAAACTAATTTTGTTGGGTACGCGCGCGGCAGGACGAATGCGTCTGGAATGTTAGTTCTCGCTTTTTTTCCCCGATAATTAATGTGTGTTTTGGCGTCTCGCCGCAGCGGGGCGCCCGTCACAGGGCTCTCCATATCATCCGTTGTCTGCCGCTCTACCTTTTTTAATTTCGGCGGCCGCTTATCGTAGCGTTCTACCAGGCTTTTTCAGTATAGAGGAGGCTATGGTTTTGATGGGCGCTTAGGTGTCGAAAATAATTTCCAACAGGAGATAGCCAAAAGGCGTACATTTTTCACGCTCACAACTAACGTGTTTAGCGATGGAGAGGACACGGACATGCAATTTAGCAGGTGTTAAAATTCGAACAATACATGCTGCAGCGACGGAATCCAAGATGACTTCGTTTTGGGGCACGTTTTGGGGACGACTTTCTTTTTTTCACACCAGCAACAAGGCAAAGCAACGGGCGTGACTGACTCGAATTCGAACAACTATTTATAGCTATGCCCGAGAAGGACTCTACGCGGAGAAGCAAGAACAGTTGTTATTGTTCGCGAAATCGCCGTTCGACGTCCTTCCGCGCCTTCGTTTCCGGTGAATGTCGAGCAGAAACGCTTGAATGGCAAGCACTTACTAGCCCTATTTTTCACAGTGGAAGATAACACAAAAAGGGTACGCACATGCATCAGAACATTTAAGTGGAAACATTCATGAGGGGCCAGATAATGTAAAATTCAAAGCCACAAAATATAGGTAGATAATCGCGCTGAGCGGGTTTTCATAGTCCAAGAGGGTGGCCCAAAAATTTCTAGCTGATAGAGGGCTCGAGAGTCGCACCAGCCGCGTCTGCATCAGCAACATGGAAGCGGTCTAGGAGTGCTTTTTAGAAAGGTGCATAGTCTAAGAAAGTTGCGAGTAGTCTTTCTCTTTCATGAAGGTGGTCCTGAAAAAAATATGGTGCTTCAAAAAGCGCCTCTTTGTGGCATCGAATGTATAAAAATCAAATAAAAAATTAAATATTTTACATTATTAACTTTTTAACGATTTAACCTCCTCATGATACCGGCACACCTCAAATAGTTAACGCATGAGGATATACCGGGTGAAACAAGGAGACGGTAGGCTCTTTAAATCGACCGGAAAATTAGGTTTCTTAACCTATCGCGCTACGACTTTGTGCAGCGTTGCCCACAGATGGTGCATTTTTTTCGTAAAATTTGCAAAGAGCGAACTTACCTGAGGAAAAAGTAAAGAAAGAAAAAGGCTTAGCTCCTATGGAAACGCAGCGACGCCACCGGTCTGCAATCAACACGACGCCGTTTCGCACGGTAGACAAGAGATGGCGCAAGCGGTCGCGACGCCAACTGCCGCCAACGAACGAGCAGACGACGCCGAGAACCGGCGTTTTTAGCAGACAAGGAACTGCAGTTGCTTGTTGTTACCGCGCCTGTGTTTGTTTCTGCAACTGTCGCCGTTTGCGGAACGCGCGCCGCTTTTGATTCGAAAAGATCGTCTGCTAAAAACGCTGGCTCTCGGCGCCGTATGCTCATTCGTTGGCGGCGTTCGTTGCGCCATCTCTTGTCTACCGTGCAAAACGGCGCCGTGTTGATTGCAGACCGGTGGCGTCGCTGCGTTTCCATAGGAGCTAAGCCTTTTTCCTTCTTTACTTTTTCCTCAGGTAAGTTCGGTCTTTGCAAATTTTACAAAAAAAATGCACCATCTGTGGGCGACGCTGCACAAAGTCGTAGCGCGATAGGTTAAGAAACCGAATTTTCCGGTCGATTTAAAGAGCCTACCGTCTCCTTGTTTCACCCGGTAGACAGAGAAACAGGCACTTGTGTTACTATTTGTTCTAGTTCATTGGATGTTAACTGACAGAATGAGCTTATATTAATCGAATATCAGTGTAATGTGACGTTTATATTTAATAATTGAACCTAAAGCCGCCACCCAATTCAGTTTACTTTCAAATAACCACATTAATGTTCGACTTTCAATATTAAAAAGGGCATCCTGAATTTTTTTTTTTTTTTTTTAACGAAACGTTTCAAAGAGCGTTATAATCATGAAACCTTTACTCGGAAAGATTTATTTTAGGTTCAACTCGCCAAGCACATACGCAGCGACATGGAACGTCAATCAGCATGAATGAGGCAGTTTTTTTTTTATTTTGTTTTTTTATGGCAATAAAGTGTATTCGCATTTCAACGTTAAATGTCTAGATGGGGGAGGGTGGTGATGCAACGATCACGATCATGAGGCACATTTGTTGCCGCAATTTCAAACATTAAATTAACAGGGCACAGGGATATCTAGCAAAGCAGGTGGTATCGATTTTACACTCTTCTAACCCAGGAGTGGTGAGCGCAGCAAGAAAAAAAAAACAAAAAAAACCCTCTCCGGTTCGAGCAGTTGCACAAAGCGCTGCGTCACAGAGCTGTACTTTTGCTGAAACCAGAGTGGCAGCCGAGAAAGAAAGAGAGATCATGAGACACGGTTCTCGTGTTCTGTGTAAGTTTCGTGAACACTGTAAACATCTCTCTAGGTAGTGTCACCTACGTCCCGTTGCAGGCTATGAAGAGCCGGTCAAGCTCCTTCTTTATCAGAGGGAAAGCTGGAGGTGGAGGCGAGACGAGGCGAAACGACACAATGTGGAGTGCAAGCCTCGATCGTCTGCTTCGTTTGCTCGGGTTGTGGTTACGTCAGAACGCCGAGCCTCGATTGCCTCTGATTGAAGGCTAGTGGGTATACATCAAAGCAAGCTGCCTTGATGTCTACCCACGGTCTTCCTTCAATCAGAGCCAATCAGATCTCGGAGTTCTGACGTCACCACAACCCCTGCAAATGAAGCAGACGACCTTGCGCTCCATATTGTTTCCCCTCCGGCGTTTGCTCTGCTGAAGTGCAAAGAATGAAGGGCTTGTCCTGTTTTTCGTAACCTGCAAATCG